AAAATAAATTAAAGAAAATGTAAAATGCAACAGGCAAAAAAAACCAAACAAACCCAGAATATAAACATTCCCTGACAGCAGGAGGTGGAGAAGCAGAGTTAATGTAAGATTAAATTTACAAATGTCTATTTATATATTTATATGTAAAAAAATTGACGTTTTCACAAATATCACAAAAGCATTCTTTAAACATCCAGTGAGCTTAATTGGTCTACAACCTGACTTTTTCCAGCTACAAAAAGAGTCTAGAAAACTTGGTATTTATATATGTATAGATTTCATACACGTGCCCTGTGAGTGAACAAGGCCGTAAAAAAAGTGCAAAAACAAAGAATAGCCAGCGGTGAAGCTGCAGGTGGACGACGACGGGAACGTGATTAAAATGCTGCGCAGACTTTTTGACACCGACCACAAATAGATATGAAAACATGTAGTTTACAGATCGTGGCTTGAGGAAGCAGAAACTCTCACTCCAAGACTCCGTGCGGGCGATGTAACAACTAAAACCACTGAAGTAACACAGAACTCAGCACTACAGTGTTTTTACTAAATGGCTTCTGGTGCTTTTAAAATAATTCACAACAGAGTTAAGAAGCGGGATTAAAATTGTCCTCAGCTGAACTCAACAGGAAACGAAGCACAAACGTTAGTTGAAACACGGTTTCTACCTTTAAATGCACCACGTTCTAGATGAAAGGGTTAATCCTGGAAGTCCAGAAAAGTTCAGTCAGGTCCTCTGGACGGATTCTTCCTGTTGAAACGTTTCGTCTTTCATCCAAAAGACTTCATCCGTCTGAGGAGCTGCAACAAACTCAACTGTTAAATACACAGCACCTTCTCGTAGTGGGTCAACCAGTTTGATGGTGGTTTCTGGAGTCCACCCTGTCCCCAGCAGACTCGTTTGAGGCAGCCATGGTCCAAGTGGTCAACATGGATGAAGTCTTTAGGACGAAAGACAAAATGTTTAAAGAAAAAAATCCACCCAGAGCATCGGTGTCAGAAGCATTTGTAATGTGTGTGTGTGTGTGGGGGGGGTGTTGGTCGGGGGTCCTCCCCCAGAAAAAACTGAATAAAGTAGATGCCATTTCCTGCATTCTGGTGTATTTTAACAGGTTGTTTAACATCTGGTTGACCTACATAAGTAAACACTTGATTCAGTAACTATTTTAGAGAGCAACATGAAGTATCCTGACCAACAGCTCTCCTTGTGTGAACAGAGCACATTCCACTTCCTACTCATCCTAGCACGCACCCCCCACATATCAAAAACTGCCGGAACTAAGCTAGCAGCGTGGAATACAGACGCACTAGCTAAGACGCTACAGACGTAGTGTTCCGCTTCTCTCACCCATCCTAACCTCCACCCCCATCAACAACTGCCAGCACTAACGTGGCGCTAAGCTAGAGCGCAAAACAGGTGTCCCCGCCCTGTGGACTTTTAGTGGTCTGAGTATTCTCCTATTAATCAAGTGGAATGGATTCATGAAGAAAGAAAGAGCGCTGGGTGAACTAATATTTCATGGTAAATGTGGTGGAGGTGGAGGGGGGGTCTAAATTTCATTCATTCAACATTTATTTCTACAGGGTAGTCTCGTTGAGTCACGAGGACTCGTTTACAAGAGAGACCTGATTTCAACAAAGAACAGGTGAGGTACAGACAACAAATGAGTATTTTTTAAATGTGGAGGGACACGCCCCCTTCTCATATTGTTGCAGTGCCTATGGTCCGAGGACCTGACTTAACTTTGCTGGACTTTTCTACCTGGATTACTGAGCATGAATCAGGATGTTAATCCTGGAAAGTTTTACAGAAAGATCTCAGAAGGTACAGATGAAGTCATGGCTCAGAACAAAGTAGAAACTTCTAGATCACCTTTAATTTCAGCTCATGCTCCTCTGGCAGACATGATGCTCTCCCAGCTGAACGCCACACATTCACAAACTGCACTTTGAAAAACAGCTTCTGGAAACATAAAGAAATTCTACATGAACGCTGGATGTCGTCGTCGTTTCAAAACAAAGAGATTCTGGTTCATGTAGAATCTGGTCCTGAAGTAAAGTCCAACAAACGCTGCCGCTCAAACCACCATTTGTGTCTCGGTCGTCGAGATCAGGCTCAGTTCAGCTCTTTACACTCATTTTTAGAAAAGTTGGATTGAAAAAATAAACAAGGAGCTTTTCACCTTTTGTTCTCTTCATCCATGATCTTGGAACGGAACGATTTAAAAATCTGTTTAACCCGTTAACGGCATCAAGCCTCTGACAAGAAAAGCAGACGAAACCGAATCGGAAGCCTTTTACCGAGAAGTCTCGACGTTTCACGTGAACGCACGTACGAGCGTTACTGTAGTCTGACGCAGAGAAACACCGGCTGGCCTTTGCATCCTTCAGTTGTTCAGATCCTTCTCAGAAATTAAGATGCAAGGACGACGAGAGGAAAAAGCAAAGAAACATTAGTAAAATAAAAAAATAAAAAGCTTTGCAGTAAAGCGGAACTGTTCAAATCCTTCGCTTTCAGATAAATAAAAACAAGTAGAAGGAAAAGGAACGTGCCGTTTGTGAGCTGAAAGCTAATGCTACGCTAACAAAGCTTGTTGTGATGTCAGAGCTGAAATCTTCACAGAATTTGATTTCTTGACTGCTGTATTAATTTAGTCTTTTTTTTACAGCAATGTGAAAACACAATCTAGGCTTCCATTAAATATACAGATCCTGTTTTATGTTTGTTTTTACAGGACTTCATACAGTTTGTTGCAGATGAGGACCAGGCCACGGTGCAAACTGTTTTTTCTCCTTTAATTCTAAGAAGAAAAAACAAAAAGAGTCAATATTCTGAGAAAAAAGTCAGAGTTAGACGGATGGATTCCTGACTTTAATCTCAGAATTAAGTGAAAAAAATTATTGCACCGTGGCCCTAATCCTCTTCCGTAGTTTTTGGATTTGTATTTATTTTTGCTTGATGTTAAATTATCTTTCATATCGGTCACAGTCCGGGCTGTGCAGGCCATAGATAAATATTAAATTTAGATAATGCACAAAAACAAGACCAGTTTGGACCGTGGCTTCACTAAAGTCACAAAACTAAACCGTCAGGATTTCTAGAGAAACGCCCGTCGTTCACTGAGGGTCAGTGAGGGAAGAAGTAAACTTTGGTTTTGAACGCAGCAGCTGAAACAGAAGACGGGCAAAGGGTCAGTGATCGTGCTCTTCGTTGACACGGGAATGAATGTGGAAAAGTTCTTTGACAGATCGACACAAACCTGAGATGACAGAGACAGTAACGAGCCCTCTCACCAATAAATACTGGAATCACTCAACCATCAAATACAACAAACCACTGCATCCCAGTCTACAGAAAGACTTGAAACTACAGCTGCCACAGCCAGGAACCGTCATCTATGGCCAACGTGAGAAGTCCGTGTTTCAGAACCAAGCAGAACGTGAAGGAACAAACGTGACGAGCCTCAGCTGGCGTGACGCTAGATGTTCTTCTTGATGTTGTTGTTGGAGGCAAGGCGAGGCCGCCGTGCTGGGATCAGGCTGCCCAAAGGAACTCGACTCCGAGCCACCTCAAAGAGTTTGGAGAAAATCTGGGAGGAGCAGGAAAGAGCGAGATTTAGACAAATAACTGAACCGACATTTTAAATCATGAAAGACCTAAAATGAAATGAAGGAAATGAAGATGTTGAGCTTCTCCTGGAGAGTGACCAGGATGGAGAAGATCAGGAATGAGATCCTCAGAGGTACAGCACAGGTTGAACAACTGGGAGATAAAGTTAGAGAGGACACACTGAGATGGTTTGGACATGTCCAGAGGAGGGACAGTGGGTATACTGG